TGATCGACGCAGGGTGCACCGTACACGTGCCAGAGTTGAGAACTTCAGAGGCACACGCGGAGACGGCGACGTCATAGAGCACGCACCGCCTTCAACGAGCGGCCGGTGTTTGCCTCACGTGCGCCGCCGTGCCGGCCTCGGCGTAAGCCGGCCGGGAGCCGCACACGTCCGCCTCCTGTTACCTGCGACGCTACACTACACATCCTCGTCAAGTCACACACGCCCACGCGTGCGGCCGATCATTCCGAGCGGCTGCGTTCATTCCGATCCCAGCAGCTGCGTTCGTTTCCCTGGATTGGATTGGGAAAAACGAAATGATCCATTCACATGTGATTAATTAAGTGTATATTATTTTTTAGAAAAATGACATAATATTTAAATAACTTTCGTATATAAAACTTTTGTAAAAAACAGCTGTTTGAACGGAGGAGAGCGGCTGTGAACCAGCTGGAACTAACGCAACAATGTGAGCTACGTTCAGATGGACGGACGGACGGACGACGCAGCGGCGGGGAGATCTTTCGTCATCTCAGTTTGGGGTTTTCTGCTCCTTTTTCCGTTCGCGTGCGGGGCTGGAGATCAAACTCAACTTTTTCTTTCGATACAGCGACTCTACTCTACGGTCTCCTCGATTGATCGTTTCTTCTGTCCCCTTCAGCTGCACATTGGTATCATTTGGTCGAGATTGATAACCTGCAGTATAATCTGTAACTCCCATATATCATATATTCAGTACACCTTTGCTTGTAAAGTTTCCGATTTCTTTGCCATTTTACAGATTGCATTCATTATTATCTCAAAAAAATTATATACAATTTCATCCAGTAATAACTAATTGTCGTGGAACAGGGCGTCACTGCAATAATCACATAACCACAACAACGAACAACTAGTACATCACTGTGATATTTGCAACAAATTTTACACATGGCCAGAATAAAAAAAACAGTTGAAAACGGCACCACTTTTTTTTTAAAAAAAAAACTATGCTCAATCGGTTGGGAATTTCCATTACCGTTTGGATAATCATCGGTTAACTACACCTACAACTGATACAACACTACGATGTTTTCAACATGAAAAGTAGTACTGCCAGTACCAATTCCACGTCAAAGAAATGTTAATGACCAAATTTAGAGAAGAAGGAATCGAAACGGAGTTCGAGATAGAGATTAATTCCGGCCTAACATGACATCGGAAGCGCTGTGACGGATGGTGTCATCAGCATAGACGCGGTATGGTGCCCCGAGGTGACGCGGGCAACTAGATCATGGCGGAGTCGGCGGTTACACCATCAGGGGGAGCTGCGATTCTACGACGGGCCCCAGTCTAGATATTTGTCCTCTGGCAACGGCGCCTTTTGCCGACAAAAGATGACCACGTCGAACGGGCTAGTGTGGGAGAGAGGAGATCCATTCTTCTCTCTCACCCTCTCCTCATCCAACCCAACTACGTGGATGGAGCTGGAGCGTGTCAGGGGTCGAGCTCCTTTATGACGGTCGGCCGGCAACGTGGCGCCGATGCGGTGGCTGTGCGTCGAAGGCTTTCGACGGTGGTGGCAGCGGAGTGTGCAGGAGCTTATTTCTTGGGAATGATGAAATAATTATGGGCGAATGCTCTATCTTCGGGGTAGCAACAATAACGCATGTGGGTGCCGCTTTCCTCTTGGAGCGTTGTTACATATTCTTGTCTCTCCAGTTACTTTTTTCAAGTGAAAATCATGTCCTTGCTCTCCGGGACAGGTAGTGGTGGTGTTCTTGGCGTCGTTTTTTTTGGAGGCGTCGTTCTGAAGATCTCTTGTTTCTATTTTTTCTCTCGCAACAGGAGCTGTTGTAGACGCGCGGTGTGGTTGTTTTTCTTTTCTGTCTATAGTCTTCCAGGACTATATACTTATTCTTGTGCTATATCAATTAATGAAACTCACATTGTCTCGTGGGTGTGGTTCGTTTCAAAAAAGAGGCTGTACGTGCTGCTGTTTCTAGCTGGCGGCCTTGTTTAGTTTCCAAATTTTTTTTTCAAAAATATCACATCGTATCTTTGAACACATGTATAAAGTATTAAATATAGATAAAAAGAAAAAACTAATTGCACAGTTTGTATGAAAATCGCGAGACGAATTTTTTGAGCCTAATTAGTCCATAATTAGTCATAAGTGCTATATTAACCCACATATACTAATGACAGATTAATTAGGCTTAATAAATTCGTCTCGCGGTTTCCAAGCAAGTTATGAAATTAGTTTTTTCATTCGTGTCCGAAAACCCCTTCTGATATCTGATCAAACGTCTAATGTGACACTTAAAAATTTTCTTTTCACGAACTAAACACACCCTCGGTCGATAGTCAGTTGTGTACCCCTCCATAAAAAAAAATCAAACTCTGGGTCACACACAAGGTTTGATTCTTTTTGGGACAAGCCAGTATGCAGCTATGCAGTGTCTGAACGAAAACCAACGGCAGCAGTAGTTCAGGACTTGACGACCTGACCAGATGACAAACGATGAGACGACAAGGTGTTGGCGACTTGGAGCTAGCAGCTGGAATGCTAAACCGAACGTATCTGCTCAACACGCTGAACCTGGACGAATGTATCGGCCACAATGCACCCCCTGCAAGTACAGAGAAGTAGAAGCAGTCTGGAGTAGTAGCACTCGCTATACTGTAGCTAGAAGAGTACTGTACCTCTCGGTTGCAAGTATGCAACTAGGAGTAGTCGAATCGCTGCCAAATGGTAGTACGAAATTCTGACTTGTGAAGGAGTAGTTCCGACTTGTCGATCATCCGTGTACAAGTAGCGCTCCCTGAAGTTAACGGGGCGAGAGAAGAGGAGAGAAGACGCCGAGGCGTGGTTGGCAGGTTCAATGGACAATGGTTGGTGCGCCAACCGCTACATCTCTCGCCCAGTCGCTCGGAGACAATCAGACAATACCGAAGTCGATGACAAATGTGCGAGCGAGCATTCACAATCAGATATGTGCTTCTTTTTAATAAACAACATAGTACTGCGTTTCGTATTATCAGAACAGCACTACAACCCTTGGAGGATATAGCCATGAAAAAAAAAAACAACAACACACCACACGTTTATAGCGTCTTGTAAACGGCGTTTAGAATGGTTTTCTAAACCGCGTCTTGTATGGTACCGAAAGTATCGCCGCTGCCCGCCCTGGGACAGTATTGATCTGTACTACTACTACGCTTACTGTTTTGATCTGTTACTACTACTTACTTTATCTATCTCAAAATATAATTATTTTTAGACTTCAATATAGTCTTTGAGATGTTATTTTGACTAATAATATTTAAAAAAAGATGTTTTAAATAAAAAGAGTTATATATTATGATAATTTTGTTACTGATAAATCTAGTAACATCGTTCTTGCATGATTTATCTTTTTTTTCTATTGATAGTTAAAGTTAAAAATATTTGACTTAGCACTATTTTAAAAAATATTTATATTTTAAGATGAAACACTTCTTTCAGATGAAATGCATCGGCCGGAGCAGCAGTGTGATCGATGCAGGACTTCAGGGTGCGCGGCGCCGACAGCACCGTACACGTGCAAGAGAAGGTTGAGAACTCGTTGAGAAGCGCACGCGGAGTGCCGGAGACGACGACATACTCCAGCATAATAACGAGCGGCCGGCGTTTGCCTCACGTGCCAGCGGAGGCCCGGGAGGACCAAGAAATTAACCTTCTGGCGCCGCGCGCACACGTCGTTCGTCCGTCGCCTCCTGTCACCTGCGGCATTTTACACATCCTCGTCAGCCTCACGCACGCCCAGTCGCCCACGCGTGCGGTCGATCGTTCCGAGCAGAGGGCGGAACAAGTGAACGAACGAACGGCGCCCGAGCATTTTCGTCGGCGTTTCTGGAACGGCTTCTGTTTCTCTCCACTGTCGCAGCGGTGGAGATCTTTCGTCAACTGAGTTTGGAGCTGTCTGCTCTCTCTCTCTCTCTCTCTCTCTCCCGTTCGCGTGCAGAGCTGGAGATCAAACTCAACTTTTTCTTTCGGTACAGCGACTCTCCAGTCTCCTCGGTCGATCGTTTCTCCTGTTCCCTTCTGATGCGTGTGATCATAAACCTGGTATCATTTGATTGAGATTGATAATAACCTGCTGTAACTTAGCGAATTACCAGAGTTACTCCGTTTTGCTTGTACAGTTTCCGGTTTCTTTGCCATTTCGTTTACAGATAGCACTCATTATTATCTCAACAAAATATACACAATTTCATTTAGTAACTAAGGGCCTGTTGGGCTGCCCAGGCTGCGACTGCCGGCATGAACAGTGCCACATTCACTGTGCACAGCCGCGGCGCTTGCTGAATAGGCCCTAAATTATCGTGGAACTGTACGTCAGTGTAATAATTGTTTAATCACAACCTACAACTAAAGTTGTGTTTAGATCCAAACTTCAATTCTTTTCCATCACATCACATGTCATACACACACAACTTTTCAGTCACATCATCTCCAATTTCAACCAAAATTTAAACTTTGCGCTGAACTAAACACAGCCTAGTACTCCCTCCGTTATATTTCATATTATAAGTTATTTAATTTTTTTCTTAATCAAATACTTACAACAAATTTTACCCTTGTTTTTTTTAAAACGATGCTCGATCGATCGAGAATTTCCATCACCGTTTTCATAATCATCAGTAACCACACCTACAACTGGTACAACACGGTGATATTTTCAACACGAAAAGTAGTTCTGTCAGTACCAGTTCCACGTCAAAGAAACCACGGCGATTTTCTACCGGTCGGAGAATTCCGTCCTTCCGGGACAAAATCCACGCCAACCACAAGCTCACCACAAAGAGAGATCAGAGATGCCATCGGAATATTCTCCGTTTCCATCTCGTTCTGCATTTTCGTGGGCTTTGATTATTATTCGTCGAAACTTCCCAAACTCGCGAATTTACCACGCGTGTCCCGTATGATCCCTCTCCTCTCCATCGTACGTTATCAGCGACTATAAATACGGCCTCGACTCCGGACACCTTCTTCTTCCTGCTGTTCAGAGCAACGGTAGCTGACAGTGACGGAGTTCAGCAGCTTCAGCAATGGCAGCAGCAGCAGCTGGTGGTGGTGGTGGTGGTGGTGGTAGCGGCAGGTTGCTGAGAGGAGCAACCGCGAAGGCTTTTCATGGAGACGGCAGCAGCCATCATCGTATGATGCCATCGTCGTCGTCTTCGGTGGCGGCAGGCGGCGGCGGCGGCGTGGCTGGGCCGTGCCGCATCCCGTCCCTGAAGTTCCCGTCGCTGTGGGAGTCGAAGAGGCAGGGCGGCGGTGTCGGCAGCCGCGCGGCGGAGCGGAAGGCGGCGTTGATCGCGCTGGGAGCCGCCGGCGTGACGGCGCTGGAGAGGGAGCGCGGCGGCGGGGTGGTGTTGTTGCCGGAGGAGGCGAGGAGGGGCGCCGACCTGCTGCTGCCGCTGGCGTACGAGGTCGCGAGGAGGCTGGTGCTGAGGCAGCTCGGGGGCGCGACGCGGCCGACGCAGCAGTGCTGGTCCAAGATCGCCGAGGCCACCATCCACCAGGTAATTAACTGAAACTAATCACCTCAAAATGCAGCAAATTTTGCGAGTTCTTTGGAATCCGAATTAGCCGAAGTTTTGCGGATTTAAATTACTGATGGAGTTCATATGAACTGTAAAATTTTCAGGGTGTTGTCAGATGCCAGTCGTTCACGCTCATCGGTGTGGCCGGATCACTCGTCGGATCAGTGCCATGCTTTCTCGAGGTAAAGCTTCTACGATCATTTCCTGCTGCAAGTGAAACCATGATGGACTAATCAAGATTCGAGATCGTATTAAGTGAAAGAACATTCGAGGCTGAAAGATTTCGTGCTGAATTATGCAGGGATGTGGTGCAGTTGTGAGATCATTCTTCGTACAGTTTCGTGCCCTGACACAGACAATTGATCAAGCAGAGATCATAAAGCTGCTGATCGAGGCAATAGGTACGCCCCTTATAATCACTTTTAAACTGCATACAAGTAACCATTTCCATGTTAAACCGATTTAATTTATGCCTACTAAATCTTGACAAATCAAACTATGCTTCTTCTTCTGCAGACATGTTCCTGATCGGCACAGCTCTTCTCACGTTTGGCATGGGAATGTACATCATGTTCTACGGCTCCCGGAGCATTCAGAACCCAGGAATGCAAGGCGATAATTCTCACCTGGGATCCTTCAACCTAAAGGTAACTGAAATCTGTCGATTTTTGTTTTGACAGATGTTCACCAGTAACCATGTCTGGCTATTGATCAATGCTGATAAAGAACCGTAAATTTCCATATCGCAGAAGCTGAAAGAAGGGGCCAGGATCCAGTCGATCACGCAGGCGAAGACGAGGATCGGGCACGCCATACTCCTGCTGCTCCAGGCGGGCGTCCTCGAGAAGTTCAAGAGCGTGCCGCTGGTCACCGGGATTGACATGGCTTGCTTCGCCGGCGCCGTGCTCGCCTCCTCCGCCGGCGTCTTCCTCCTGTCGAAGCTGTCGACGACGGCTGCACAGGCACAGCGACAACCACGCAAGCGTACAGCTTTCGCATGAACACGTACAGGAATTGCCTTATAGCTCCGATTCATAATTCATTTATTCTTTCATATCAAGATTAGGAATAGCAAAAAAAAATGAGTTGCAAAGTGTGTGTTTTTATAGTATTCTCTCTTTCTTCACTTGTAAAGAGGGTACGAAGTAGTTTGTACAGAGTGTCAATAAAGCCTCTCGGGGGAAGAAAGAAATCTCCAATTCGGATATCTTTGCAACGCACGAATTTCACGACATTTTCGAGATCGTGGTGTGTGTCACGAGTCATCGGCACGTCTGTATATCTGTAGACTGTAGCTGCGACGTTCAGAAAAAAAAAACGGATGGATCTGTAGCTGGGCGTTCAGGGGAGGAAAAAAAAAAGAACCGGACGACGTGGACATGATAGTAGCGGACGCAGGGAGGGACTCAGGCGGGAGCGGGGACGACGTGGTCTCGTCGCTCTCGCCGGTGAAGCCGCTGCAGGAGGGGAGGCCACGTCCGTTCGCGTGGGCGTGACACCGCGGCTCTTCGCGGCGCGCGGGGCTCCGTCGCGTGGACGGCCGGATCCGCGGGTGGAGGCGCGCTGCCGGTTAGGACACCGAAGCGCCGTGATTGTGGGCCTCGCTATGCGCGGGGTTCGTGCGGGCTTTCCTTTCCGAGATAGGAAAAAAGTACACCAAAGGTCCCTCAACTTGTCCGGAAAAACTAGTCAGGCCCAGCGCCGCTGCGCCGGCGCGCGCACGCCTCCTCTACGATTTTTTTTCCTTTTTTTTTTACCTTTTTTTTCTCACTTTGTTTCTGATTTTTTTTATCTTTAGTATATTTTGAGTTTGAAAGTTTTTAAATTTAGAGTTGAAAATTTTTAAATCTGAACTTGAAAGTTTTCAAATCTCGAGTTGAAAGTTTTCAAATCTCAAATCGAAAGTTTTCAAAATTTTTAAATCTAGACTTCAAAGTTTTCGAATCTCGATTCTCGAGTTGAAAGTTTCAAATCTGAGTTGAAAGATTTCAAATCTCAAGTTGAAAGTTTTCAAATCTGAGTTGAAAGTTTTTAAAATTTGACTTTAAAATTTAAATCTTAAATCGAAAGTTTTCAAATCTAACTTAAATTTTTTTAATCTGTTAGTAAAAAAATCTCCAAAATCTTTCTTAACTACTATCATTAGTGTTAAATATATTAATTAACATATATAGTTAAGACTAAAGGGAAGGGGGGAGTGCACGCGCACGCTAGCCACCCCCTAACCTGACATCGAGATACAAAATCGTCCCCCAACCACAAAACCAGTTACGTGGCATCCCTCAAATTACAAAACCGTTCACTCTAGGTCCTTCGGTGGTTTTAACCTCGGTTTTACCCGACGTGGCGGTTGAGTCAGCGTGGGACCCGCGTGGGACCCACATATCAGACAGTCCATGTAAGCTTTCTCTTTCCCTCTTCTCTCCCTTCCTCGTCTCTCTCTCTTCTCTCTTGGCATGGTGTGCAACGGGTGGGGAGGAGACCGCGCGTTCGCCCACGCCGGCCAAGTCCCAGCTGCGCCGCTCGCCCTCGCCGGCCGAGTCCCGATCGCGCCGCTCACACTCGCCGGCCGTGTCCCCGCCGTGCCGCTCACCCTCGCCGGCACCGGCCCATGGGAGGGGACCGCCCACCAGAAACAAGAAGCTTGGAAGAGAAATGGGGAAGGGCAAGATGAATCCCCCGTTGTCGCCGCCGGCCGCGGTGGGTGGTGGCAATGGCGACGCTCGGGGCCGAGGCGAAGAAGGTGCTCGTGTCGAAGGGCGGCGGCCAACGACGAGCGCGCAGGTCGAGCGCGCCGGAGCCTCCAAGCACGGCTGCGGCGCACACCATCGCCATCGTCGTCGTCGTCAGGGGCGGCGCCCTTGGGGACGGTGACAATGAGCTCGCCGTCGGTGTAGTTGGCGGTGGCCATGGCGGGGAGCGTGCATGGAGGGAGGCGGAATCGCCACCGGTCGAGCTCGAACGCGCGGCGGCGCCATCGTCGCCGTTGACCCCGGCGGAGAGGTTCCGCACGACTGGCGAGGGCGAGCGGCACGGCCGGGACGTGGCCGGCGAGGGCGAGCGGTGCTGCCGGGACTTGGCCGGCGAGGGCGAGCGGCGCCACCGGGACTCGGCCAGCTTGGGCGAGCGGCGCAATCTCCTCCCCACTCGTCGCCCGCCATGCCAAGAGAGAAGAGAGAGAGAGAGAGAGACGAGGAAGGGAGAGAAGAGGGAAAGAGAAAGCTGATGTGGATTGTCTGACATGTGGGGCCCACGCAGGTCCCGCGCTGACTCAGCTGTCATGTCGGACAAAACCGAGGTTAAAACCAACGAAGGACCTAGAATGAATAGTTTTGTAAGTTGAGGGGTACCACATATCATGTTTTGTGGTTGGGGGACGATTTTGTATCTCGATGACAAGTTGAGGGACCTTCGGTGTACTTTTTCCTTCTGAGATATTACAACACCAAGTGGGCTGGGCCTCCCTGGGCCACAGTACAGTGGACTATGGCCTTGGTTGACATTGGATTTTAGGCATGGATCGTGCAAAATGAATGGAAAAAGTACGAATTACACCCCCGAACTACCGCGATCGTCCGAATTACCCCCTTGAACCATAAAACCGGACATTCTTCACCCCCAACTAGGCAAATCGGACGAATTACCCCCCTCGACCGAATCCGCGGTGGTTTTTGTTTACGTGGCGTACACGTGGCAGTCCAGTCAGCAATTTTTTTCTTAAAAAAATTGTGGGACCCTCCTGTCATAGTGTCATACCTCTCCTTCCTCTCTCTATCTTCACTCTTTCTCTCTCTCTCTTCCACGGGCATCGCAAGGGCGAGAGGTGGGCGGCGGCGCGAGGGCAGTGAATGGCGGCGTGCAGGGGCGGGCGGCGACCGGCGGCACGGGGACGAGCGGCGCTGGCGGAGGCTGACTAGCTACTGATTTCTTGGCGAGGTCGGCGCCGTCGAGGATGAGCTGCACGCCGGCGACCTCGGGGGCGAGGGCGGTGACCAGGGCGACTGTGGTGGGCGGGGCCGTGCCGCCTCCCGCTCGCCCGCCGCTCTAGCCTCGCCTACCCAGCTGCGCCCGCCCCCTCGTGCCGCCGTCCACGGCCATCCCCGCGAGCCCCACTGCGTGCGACGAGCGAGGCGGGGGCGCTGCGGGCGGGCGGATCTGAGGGACACCCACCGCTGCTCGCCACCCAGTCGCCGCTCGCTCCCGCCCCCTGCGCCGCCCTTCCTCGCTGCCGCCTCGCTGTAGCCGCCGCCGCCGCCAGATGCAGACGGCGACACGCTGGCGCACGGGGATGGAGGCGCGGAGCATGGGTGTCCTCCTTGGCCACGACGGCGACGCCGACGCGGAGGCCGTCTCGGCGGCACCTTCCTCGATAGCCACGACCGCCGCCGTGGCGGCCGACACGGCGAAGCTCCCCTCCATCGTGGCGGCCGACTACATCTGTATGACAACAATTAAACAGACACACCATAAAATAAGTATGCCAAGAAGATTGTTTTAGAGAGAAACATCAAAAATGCATTCGTAGTGATTACATGAAGGCTATACCTTCAGCATTGGCAACAATGTTTCCCAGGTCACCCGCATGACGGACTTCATCTTCTGGTGCACCGTGCGTCAAATTGTTTGGGTTAAAATGTGGTCCTGCAGGACAAAGTTTTGCCATGTAATGTGAGGGTGTGTTTGGATAATGGGAAATGTGAGGTGGGATTGAGATTTGGAAATGAATGAAGGGTTAGGATTAAATGAAAGAGTGAGAATGAATGGTTAGGATTTAAAGATGTCTTTTAGTGGTTGGGAAATGATTTCCCTGTCCCATTAGCTAAACAGGGCCTAAGTAGACAGGCCTTAGGGCACCCGCAACGCGCTTGCCTCGCCGCAGCCGCAGCCACCGCCGCCGCTAGATGCAGACGGCGACGCGCTGGCGCACAGGGATGGCGGCCGACACGGCGAAGCTCCCCTACTTCCTCGCTGCCGCCTCGCCTCATCCCCTGCCGCCGCCGCCGCTCCGTGTCGCCACCTGCGCCGCCCTTCCTCGCTGCTGCCTCGCCTCCTCCGCCGCCTGCCGCTGTGGCGCCGTGCGCGTTTAGAGAGTGAGAGGAGAGAGATGAAGAGAGAGAGAGAGGAGAGAGGGGGGGAATAATGTTATAGGGGTATGACAGGTGGGTCCCACATTTTTTTAATAACTAAAATGCTGACTGGACTGCCACGCGTACACCACGTAGACCAAAACTACCGTGGATTGGATTGAGGGGGGTAATTCGTCCGGTTTGCATAGTTTGGGGTAAAGAATATCCGGTTTTATGGTTCAGGGGTGTAATTCGGACGATGCGATAGTTCGGGAGGTAATTCGTACTTTTTTCCAAAATGAATCGGAATGGACAAACGGAACGATATGCATTCCCCTCCCAAGAAAAAGCACACGCGCGCACACAATGACCGAAGTTGCTAATTAGCATTCGAATGATGCATCATTGGGTGCGTTCGAATGGGTGAATTCATTTGGCTAAGTTGTTTCACGCAAAACTAGATAAGTTATTAACTATTATAAACTAAAAAAAATTGTTTTGGAGTTTTTTCATAAAACGTATCATTTAACAGCTTATAAAATGTGTCCATAGAATACGATAAAGTAGCTTGCCCCGTTATCCGTAATGGGAATTGTTTACAGGACTGCAGCTGCTGTAGCAGCCGCTGACATGTGGGACCAGGTCCACCTATCAGCCTGGCTTCTGCAAATACAGTACTGCAAAGGATCATGTCTCGTTGCCCGATGCTGAATCAAACAGACTGCAGTATACGCTTCCACCGTCCCACGAACCAATGAAGCATACGCTCAGTTTCAAGCTTGGACACGAAAAATGAAGGGCCTCAAATCACTCAAATCACCCAATTCTCAACACTTATATGCACACTGGTCAGATGTATTCTGCATTTCTGCCAGCATCAAAGCCGAGTTGTATTTTCCCCGGAGAATGTAACGCGGAAAAAAAAAAGCCCAACAATTTTGCACAAGGTAAAAAAGAAGGAGCAAAATATTCGCCCATGCACGCGCACTAGCCCTTGGCGTGCGCAACGCTCAGCTCAAGCCGCAACACCTTCGCCGCGGCCGCGCCACCGAACAGCCGCGGCGCGCACAGCGCGCGGAGCACGCCATCCCCGCCCGCGGCGAACGCGAAGTCGCCCGTGCCGCCCACCACCCGCAGCACCTCCGGGTCACCGCACTCCCCGCGCCGCCTCGTCGGCCGTGGCGCCTTCTCGCCGCCGCCGCCGTCCCCCGCCGCCGCCTGGACGCAGACGCTCCCGGACATCCCCGACACGTCGAACGCCAGGTGCACCGTGTCGAACACCGACATCGCCGAGCCGGCGGCCTCGGCAGGGAGCACGAACCCCGTCGCCGCGCCCACCGTCCTCGACGCGCTCTCCGGCCCCGCCGTCATCCGGTGCCGGAACACGAACGCGCTCGCCTGCTGTTGTCGCTGCGGCGGCGACACGGTTCCAGCTGCCGCTGCCGCTGCCGCCGCCGCCGTCGTCGTATGGATGTACACGGTGAGAGTCCACGGATGGTCTCGACCGCCGCCGCCGCCCTTGTGGCGCCCCGGCAGCGGGGAGACGGTGGCGAGGAGGACGACGGCGAGGACGGCCGCGGCGATCACCACGCAGAAGATGATCCTGCCTAGCATCGTGGCCGCCGCCGTCTCATCCTATTTCTGGATGGTCGCCATGGCGAGCATTATGGGGGTTAAGTGGTGTTCGGTTAAAGATTATTGGATTTCTTAAGAGGAAGACGAAGAAAGAAAGCTAGTGAGACAGCGAGTGGCTGGCTGAGAGAGAGTGGTTGAATTTGCATGTGCTTTACTTAATCCATTGCCATGGCTTAGAGTCAAACATAAACTAAACCATTGACGGAAAGGTTGATATGATGCAGATGATTTATTAAGCCAAACAAATGGCATATTGTGTTAGTGTGGTGGGAGTGTGAAGCCATGAGCGCGTCTGGTTCTTGGCTCAGACAGTTTTAGCCTTTCTCCTTGTTCTGGCCTAGCTTGCTTGCATTCCTGCCAAAAAGAAAGCTGTCCTTCCCTGAAAAATCAAGTTCTTTTTTGTTTCGTAGTAGTAGAATTGCTACCTTGATCCTAGATCAGTAAGAGAAAGACGTAATGAAACGGACAGAGACTCCCTTGCTTTATTCAGTCATGACATGGAGCTTCGGCCAATCAAGCCTAAGTTCGTTTTCTTTGTTTTCTGGGGATAGCTTTTCATTTTGACATGCTATATATATATATATATAGAGAGAGAGAGAGAAAAAACATCATTTAGCAGTTCGGGAAATATGCACATAAAAAATGAGAGAATATAAGTTGGAAAATGGAACTTTTTTTTTAGAAAAAACAAAGCTTTGTTTTTTTAATTTTAGGACGAGAGCAATATATACTTCATCAGTGGTATTTGGTTTTTTATAGAGAAATAGAGGTACCGCTTAAGAGCGCTTTTCGAGAGTTGTTCAGTTTTACAAAGGTTATGTTTATGGGAGCTTCTCCAAAGATCTCTAGCTCCCCAGGTAATATAGATTGTCACTCAAATTCTAGGAACATGTAGCTATAAAATTCTGAAAATGAATGTTATGCCTTGATTTTCTTTCGAGGTTAAAAATCAAATAGTACATCATTTCTATAATTTATGTTAAAATTAAAAGCAATTTATAAAGTAAAATTAATGTGGGAAATAAATTTTTCTTTAAAAATCATAGTTGGCCATAAAGTACTCTTTGAAATTTCTCGTGAATTTTCAGTGCTCGAGTGGTAATTTCAATAATACAAAGTTCATTTAATCAATTATTTAAATTAAAAACCAAATTAAAATTCCGTCCATGTCCTTTGGGCCGTTTCCAGCCCAAGTCTTTTTTCCCTTCCTCGCCGGCCTGGCTCCCCTTCTCCCCCCCCCACCCCCCCCCCCCCCCCGCGCGCAGGCCTTTCTTGGCCCAGCCTCCTTTCAGCCGAAGTCCACTTCGCCTCCCTCCTGCCTTGAGCCACCAAAATGTGGGGTCCACCTGTTAGCATCATCCTTTTTCTTCGGCTTGAGAGCCAGCAACCGTTTCCCACATCACGACCTCTCCGGTGGGCCTCCCCGCTTCCACACTCGCGTCTCCAGGTGCGTGGACACAGTCTTGTAAAATCAAAGGTGTTTTTGATTATTATTTTGTGATGAACAATTGGGCATTGGAGATTATTGGTTTTGTTATTTGGAATTTATTCACGAAGTGGTTTTGAAGATGATTGGATTTCACATGTGATCGCAGGATTCGTCATTTTATGTGATCGGTCAGACCGGGCTCTGGTAGCCGGTCAGACCGACGTGTAATGCGCGGTCAGACCGGCCGACACTGTGTCGGTTTCAATTTTGGGTTGTTTATTTGGATATCCGAATTTATTTTATGATTATGACTTCTAGATGGATACTATACGTATGTAATACTATTGTTTGCTGCTGATGAGTCAACTTGGAGATAGCTTGGTCTCGGAATATGGTTTCTTTGTTTGTTCCATGTGTAGGTGACTCGATGTCTCAGGGGAGTATTTGCGGTGATGGACCGGGAGTCGGCTTGGGGATAAGACGACGTCCGTGGTGGTCAGAGATCATGCGAGATACTTAGGCTAGAGTTGATGCACGTGGTTGATGGAGATTTTATATGGCATACGATGGAGTTATTGTGTGCGTATGGGATGCGGAGTCAAATTTAGAAGGAGTCCAAATATGGTACGATTGGTTATGTAAAGTTTCTTTCTTGTACTAGAGGGTTTCCTAAGGTGTTTAGGACTCCTAGTATGAGTTTGGTTCGTGGCTTTAGGCTGCCTACCTCGGGTATAAATAGAGAGGGAGCGTGAGGCTTCCCGGTATCGCTTTTGAGAGCAATTGAGTTGAGTTTTGAGTTAGGGTTTCGAGTTTAGTCGAAATTTTTGTAAGGAGTGCTGTTGGTGCACTTTGTAAACACAGAAAGAATCAATAAAGTCGTCATCAACTTTAAGAGTTCTTTGATTTGTGTTTCACCGGGTTTCGGCGGTCTAACCGGCAACTCACCGACGGTCAGACCGGCGGCATTGCGGCGGTCAGACCGGCGGGAGCATGGCGGTCAGACCGGCGGCGGCGACAGGCGCGGCAGGTGATCTCGGCGGTCAGACCGGAGATTCATCACCGGTCAGACCGGCGGCATCCACTCGGTCAGACCGGCAGATCAATCTCGGTCAGACCGACTTCCATCAATTTCGAGGGTAACTTTTATTTCCGCTAAAAGTTTTCGGTTTTTGGGTATACCAACCATTCACCCTCCCTCTGGTTGGCTTAGTTCTTATGATTCGATCCTACAAGTCTCCTCCACTTGTCCACCTTTAGCCCCACCACTCTCCCGCAAATCATACATCGTCAAAGCCGCATCTCACCTATGTTGTACCTATCGTTGGCTCACCTATCGCCTCTCCCCGCCCCAATCCAGTTTCTCGAGGGTATAAATAGCCTCGCCATACTCCTCTATCTTGTTTTCCACATTTCAAAAGTTTAGTGCTTTTATGCTAAAGACGGAGTTAAAAGACCAAGGTTTATACCTCAGTTGCGTTTTACTTGTGGAGTGGAGGTGAAGTTCCAGTAGGATCGTCCTTTTTCACTGTTGCTTTGTTTTTTCTTTATGAGGACTAAGTATTTATTCTGTAAGTATTTACGTTTGAATATGTATATTAATTTGTCATTTTGTGTATCCTAGTTTGATTCCTGGACATAGATTTATACACAGAATAGTATGAGAATTGGTGAAATTTTTGGGCGCGACAATGAACTACGTGCCAAAAGTTGGGAAACCCGGCTTTTCCATATTTTTTAAACCTAACTACGAACCAACCGTTCCTCCGAATTTTAAGCTCTCCAAAACGGGACAAAAGTCTATTTCACTATACATTAGAGAAACCACCATGATGCTATTTTTGGTTCAGAAGTCTCACATAGGCTCGGATGGTCTCACATCCTTCCACCAATTGAAATTCTTAGCCCAAATAATGCACCACCTAAAATTGAATTGAACCCCAGAACCAAAACAAAGGTCCCAATGATTGGGAATGGTAGGGAAGATGCAAGATCCATGGTCCAATCAGACCAAGCAAACCATCATTGAGCAATGTTCACTGCACTGTGTGCGAGTGGATCCCATCAAGATCTCGCTCGTTCGCTCGTTCCCTCCTGCAAGGCAGCTGGTCACAAGTCACAGCAAAGTTATGAGCCTCGATTAATCTATTATAAATCTGCAATAACAAATCTTACCAGCAAATCAGCAATGCACTATTCAGTTGACCCACCCCGTCTGAATTCTGAAGAAAATAATGCAAAACAAATTCAGTGGACAGAGAAGAGAGGAGACATATTTACGCCATGTAGATAATCTATTATAATAATTCAGTCAATAATTATTGAAGTAAATTAAATATTTTAATAAATTAATTAATATATAACATAGATTAAGGAATCATTGCAACACATTAAAAGAAAGTATTTTTAAGAAAAACTTAATTTTGAAGATGTGGAAGAAATAATCCACAACAATAATTCAGTGGAGAAGCAAAAAGAATCGGGGCCTGAGGACCTGACCACCGAATTTGTTATATATTTGTCATCAAAATTTTTCTAAAAAATTTTATAGATATAAATACAGTAAAATCGTAGTGCAATTATATTGTAACTTAATTGTAATGTAACTTTCAAATAAATTTTGAACCGTTATATTTGCTTCAAGATTCATGTAATCGAAGAAAAAAAATCACAGCGTGCTTATAGCTGAGGGGATTATGTCATGAGACATCCGCTTCATGGAAATAGTGTGTTATCATAGAATTTTTTTAAAAAAAATTGTATTGTAAGTTACAAACAAACTACAATATACTCCCTCCGTTTCAAAATGTTTGACACCGTTGACTTTTTATCACATGTTTGACCGTTCGTCTTATTCAAAAAATTTAAGTAATTATTAATTATTTTCCTATCATTTGATTCATTGCTAAATATATTTTTATGTAGGCATATAATTTTACATATTTCACAAAAGTTTTTGAACAAGACGAATGGTCAAACATATGCTAAAAAGTCGACGGTGTCAAACATTTTGAAACGGAGGGAGTAGTTATTTTACAATTACACTTAGGCTGTGTTTAGTTCACACTGAAGTTTGAAAGTTTGATTGAAATTGGTACGATGTGATAGAAAAATTGTGTGTGTATGAAATGTTTGATGTGATGGAAAGTTGAAAGTTTAGAAAAAAAAACTTTAGAACTAAACAGGGCCTTACATGCTAGATTTTTGGAAGAAAGTTTTAAGACAAAGCTAGCAACTGCTCGCGCGGCGGCTGCGGGCGGGAGCCCACACCGTGGCGCGCATCAAACTCGCCCGCTAGGATCTTGCGTCGGCGCGCCGTTGGACACTTGGACTTGGAAGACTCAGCTAGCAGCTGGCCGATGGAGAGCTGGTCGCTGGCTACTTGGCTAGCTAGCCAATCTCTCCCTCCTACTTGCAAGCTGCCTCCTCCGACATGGAATTTTCCTGAGCGAGAAGACGAATTGAAAGGGGGAAGCTTGATGACTTGATGGGCACTGGGATGGGATGTTCTGCCGATCACAATCCATCATTTACGTCGTGCTTGCTTTGATTGTCAAACAGTGCCAGACGATGACTCTGCTGATCGATCGCTTTTAATTTGTGATCTCCAGGCTGTATGTATTACTGTACACTACAGCGCTCATGCTCTCTGTAGCTCTCTCGTCTTAAAGTCAGCTTCAAATCTACAACTGGATAACTGCTTACAGAGTAACTGAGAGTACTGTGACAGCAACAACATCGAACTGGAAATTCAAGGCGAGATTG